GCCCGCAGTTTCAAAACTCTTATTTTTTCCATAATACCAAATTTCCTAACGAAAAATTCAAATAGATCACTTTACAATTAAAAAAAAAAATAAACGAACAAAAAGCACATGTATTTTTTTCCCTTTAGGTAATGGTCAAATGAAGCCAAAATGAGATTTTCAAAACGAGTTACAAGTTTGAGTCTATAGCAATTAGTTATATCATTCAGTTCAGATTTAATTTTCTATAATTTAAAAGGAAAATGTAGGGCCTCCCTCCCTGGTAGCGCAAGGGGTTAAGACGCAACCTATGAAGCTATCTGTAGCCACTGTAGCAGAAGTTCGATCCCCGGCCAGGGAGGTGACCCACATGGCACAGCAGACCTCTCCTGACTCACCCGCTGCTCCCCTCAGCAGTGTATTTCAGTCAATCTGCCTGTTCTGTTCCCCACTCTGTCTCTGGCAAACCCTTTCACCCCCACCCCCAACTACCTCTGGCCTGTACCCCAGTTCTTGTATATCTTTAAAAAAAATAATAAAATAAAAGGAAAATGAAGTAGTATCATTACTTAAAGTTAAAAACTAAGCACCCAGGGCCTCCCGTGGTGGCGCAGCAGCTGAGTGCTGGGCTCAGTTCGACCGCCGGTCAGGGTCCCACATGGCGCGCAGACCTCTCCTGCCGCGCCTGCTGCTCCCCTCAGCAGTGTTCTTCGGTCCTTCTGCCTGTTCTGCTCCCCACTCTGGCTCTGGTGAATCCTCTCACCCTCCCGCACTTCCGACTGTACCTAGTGCTTGTATAACTAAATAAATAAATCTTAAAAAACAAAACAAAACAAAAAAACTAAGCACCCAATCCCTGCTTAGCAGGCAAGTTTGGGAGGCTGGAATGGATAAGGGGATGGGACTGCCATGGGAAGGGAATTAAGCTGATGATCCAGATCTAGTCAGGACAGGCCAAGGCTAGCTATCTTACCCAACCACTGATGCCTGGAGTATAGAACATGGGGACCCTCTCAGCACAGAGGACCCCTGAACCTTGCCCACTACTCCTCTCAGCAATGTAATTCAATAAATCCCCCTTTTCTGTTCTCCACGCTTTCTCTGGTGAATTCTTCTACCTGCGAGCCTCCAGCCTTCACCCCATCCTTCCCCGCAACCAACAAGGATCAGAATCACTTAAGAGAAAAAAAGTCTCATTCTGGAATAAGCAGAAAAGGCCATGTATATGGCCCATTTAGTCCCTTCTCTCTGTGTCCATGTCATCCTTCTTCAGGTGGTCAAACAACAGCTTAGAGGCAGTAAATCAAGGCACTAGGAGAATCTGCTATATTTGGAAATTTGGGGAAACTGGACTTCAATAAAACTTTCTTTATACTTGCCCAACGCTATTCTTAAAACCTCTTTCCCATTTGAAACAGCTTAAAAACCTAATGTCTACATTATGTTGGTTCCAAAATAAACAGGAGACAAGGATAACTAGAAAAATCTTAGAAGATATCAAAAAGACTGAGAGGCATGATAAATATACCCTAGGGAGTTCCAGTCAAGTCACAAGTCACACAAAAATAAGACAGGAAACCTGAGATTTCTGAAATACTTTATTTTGATAATTTTAACATTATCAAATGAAAAAACATTTTAGGAACACGTTCCTAACAATGTCACCTGATTCTGTCCTGACCCCTGTGGAGATTCCATGGATGAGTTTTATACTGTTAGTGAGGCAAACCTGAAACTAGAGTTCCATCACTCTCTAATTGAAAAAATCATTTAATGGCTCCCATACCTAAAATTTAAAAAATTGTGCAGTTTTAAAAAACCTCCAAAATGTGGCTCTAATTTACCTCTACAAACTTATTTTCCATTTCTAATTCTCTAAATCCATCACAACAAACATACCCCTTACTTTTCCATCTCCATAACCTTGCTTGAGCTGGTACTTTAGCTTTGAACATGTTCTGCTCACCACCTATTGAAATTCATTCCTCTTTAAAGTAGCAAAATACAGTAGAAATAGCCCAGGCTTGAAGTCCAGATCCAGACCCAATCCCATAGATTTCTAATTCTGATTCCATCTCCACTACTTAATAACTTAAATGACCTGGAGCAAATACTTCAACAGATCTGTCTCTCTACCTAGAAGGCAGCATACTACCTAAGGAACTTGACAAGACTACTATGAGGATGAACCATAATGGATATAAACTATGTAGTACCATTCCCCAGGTACATAAGACACTTAATTAACTGCTAACCCCTAAGTTATATGTAATTAAATATATTTCAGGATATTCACCATTCCTGTATGTATCTGACTTCTCCACCAGGTTACAAACAAGGTGGTTATGAGTATGCATTTCTAAATCTCTGCCAATTACTACTTGTGCAAGTTACTTGACCTCTCAGAACCCATTTTGTCATTAATAAAATGAATTGAAATTAACAGTGTTATTAAGAGGTTTAAAGGAGTTAATGTACATCCAATACCTGGTATAATACTTGACATTATCTAAGTGTCAAAGAATGGTGAATGGCAACAGGATGATGAACCTGATCTAGCAGAGGCTTAAAGAACAGATAAATACAAAATGCTTTGCCTTTTCAAATCCAATTTCACAAAGCAATCTTGATACAACTGTACCCTGCTACTCAGCTCTTATTGGTAAAGATGTCCATGAAAATTCAAACGGAGGTTTCTAAATACTTTACCTCAGAAATACTACTGCATATTCTTATTTTTCCAGTACCACAGTAAGCACATCATGACTTACAACTCACATCACCACATCCATCACACTGAAATACTGGGGCTTAATCCTGAAGAGTTGTATGGGGCAACAATGCCCTGACAAAGTTAAAGAAAACTCTGAAATTAGTGGTCTACACAAAGTGGAAGCCTGTTGTCTATTCACTCTGATTCTAACTTGCTGTGCCATCAATTTCTTTAACTCAAAACTCCAAGCAAACGCCAACTATTTCTAACATATATTTTCCCCATTTATATACTTCTAACCCTTTGCTCAACTTAAGAGGGGGAAAAAAAAAACGTCGAAAGTAAGTACAGTGGGCCTCCCCAGTGGCGCAGTGGTTGAGCGCTGGATTGTGAAGCTGCCCGCAGCCTCTGCAGCGCTGGTTCGATTCCCCGCCGCCAGGCGAGGGTCCCATATGGCGTGCAGACCTCTCCTGCTGCCCGCTGCTCCCCTCAGCAGTGTGCTTCATCAGTCTGCCTGCTCTGCTCTTCCCTCTGGCTCTGGTGAATTCTCTCACCCTCCCACGCTTGACTGTACCCAGTGCTTGTATAAATAAATAAATAAATCTTTAAAAAAAAAGTACAGTGAACTTTAATCAAGGGAAAACTGACAAAGTGCCAAAAAAAAAAAAAAAAAGAGATATCCGGAATATCACAGCATTTGTATTCCATTCTCAATTGTTCTTTGATACTTACACAGGTTGTACAGCTCACAAGTCAAAAGTTCAGAAACAGTTCTGGAAAATTGGTCCTGGCTTCAACTGGACACCACTTACTAGCTGTGTAACCTAGCATGTTACTTCTTTTTTTCTTTTTTTTAAAGATTTATTATTTATTTATTTATTAATTATTGTTTATTTATTTATACAAGCACTGGGTACAGTCAGAAGCGCGAGTGGGTGAGAGAATTCACCAGAGCCAGAGCGGGGAGCAGAGCAGGCAGAAGGACCGAAGCACACTGCTGAGGGGCGCAGAGGGCGGCAGGAGAGGTCTGCGCGCCATGTGGGACCCTCCTCCGTGGCCGGGGAGCAGCCCGGGATGGAACCAGCGCTGCAGAGGCTGCGGGCAGCTTCGCAACCCAGCGCTCAACCGCTGTGCCACCGGGGAGGCCCAGCATGTTACTTCTTAAGCCTCACATCTCTCTTCTGTAAAACAGGGACTGTAATGGTATGTATGAGTCTCGTAGTGTTGTGGTGCTAAAGGCAATAACATACACTAAGTGTTTAGTAAAGTACTTATAATATCATAAATAAATGGTATTCTAATTAGTGGTACCCGAGCACGAAGGTTCTTTGTAAACACAGTGGAATAAATGAGTAGCACATTTTACATTAATAAATAAATGCACCACTAATTTTAATTCCATCCTACGTTAAATAATGGTTAATAGCATCAATACTCTTTGGGAGCATTATACACTTTACAAAGCCCTTCAGATATCTACAAAATCATGTGATCTCCACAACATCCTTAGGAAGTAAACATTCTTAAGATATGTATTTTAGAAATTAGGAAACGGGTATGCAGCCCGGTACCGAATTGCCAAGGTTACCCACACTAGCGGTCGACTCGAACCAAATTCTCCAGACAAGCCATTAGGTGGTTAGTGCCAATGTTCTTAAACCCAACATCCACTAAAAGGAGGCAGGTTCCTTCAAGTCACTGGGTAGTCACTCTCCCAAGCAGGGTGAAGCACCTGAGTCCAGGGTAAACTCAGATTAACAAACCCCAACAGAAGCCACTGATGACACTTCTATCGCTGTGTCCTCCTACACCTTGGGGCGGGGGCCAGGCCTGCCCCCTCCCCCACCTGAGCGCCCAACACAGGACCTGACGACCTAGAGGCCTTCACTTAGTAAGCCTTTGTGGAAATGGAGTGGGAGGCTTTCAAGAGACCAGAAACCACATCAACTCCGAGGTGGGGACCAGACATCTCGGGTAGGAGCAGAGGCGTTGGGCGGAGAGCGTTTGTCCGGTAACCGAGCTGAGAAGGATGGGTGCGGAGGGGCGCCAAGAGAAACCAAGGAAGCTGTCCCGTTGACGGGAGAGGGGCTGGAGAGAGAGGCGGGTCTCACTGCAGTCATGGCTGGGAGGCCGGGGACAGGCAGGGGCTCGGGGGCCGGGGGCAGCAGGGCAGTTGGTGTCTGGGGGGAGGGGGCCGCCTGTGGTCCGAGAAGGATCCCCAGCCTGATCTGAGGAAGGTTCTGGGCTCCTCTAGGGACCCACTTCCCAGCCCGCGGCGGTATTAGCTGCACCGAGTACTCGCTGCTACCTGAAACTGCAGCAGCTTCTCTGTCTGCTCCTGGGTTAGATCCCGCTCCTCAGGCGCCGCCATTTTGCCGCCGCCTCTACGCTTCTGACCCGTCCGCACCGTCACCCGCCGGAACTGACCTCAGCAGCAACCACGTCCGGTCTGAACGGCCGCGGGCGCGCAACTGCGTCTGCGCGCACTAGCCCAGCCCCGGGAGTGGTGTCGGGAGTGGCGACGCTTCTCGCCGCCAGAGGACGCCACTCTCGGGCCTAGCCCGGACATCTCCGGAAATTGCCGAGAGATTGTCGGTCTGAGTCGCCTTCACGAGTGAGGCCGCGAGCGCATCCGCTAGAGACCCGGCGCCAGCATAGAACGAAAGGAGTCGAAGGGCCTCCCCGGTGGTGCAGCGGTTGAGCGCTGGGTTGCGAAGCTGCCCGCAGCCTCTGCAGCGCCGGTTCGATCCCCGGCTGCTCCCCGGCCACCGGAGGAGGGTCCCACATGGTGCGCAGACCTCTCCTGCCGCCCGCTGCTCCCCTCAGCAGTGTACTTCGGTCCTTCTGCCTGCTCTGCTCCCCGCTCTGGCTCTGGTGAATTCTCTCACCCTCCCGCGCTTCTGACTGTACCCAGTGCTTGTATAAAATAAATCTTTAAAAAAAAAAAAAAAAAGAAAAGAAAGGAGTCGAGAGGCCCCGAAGACTTCGCCATAAACTCCGCAAATTCCCGAATGCCACTCGGCTGACTTCTCTTGTTCCCTAAACTATTTGCCTTTAACGTCTCATATGCCTGACTGATTTTTTTTGCAAATTGTGGCTGTTCCAAAATATCGACCTTTCGATGCTTGATTCCGGCCCTGACGTTTCTAAAAGCTTCTGATCATCTCTTGGAAGGTTCCGCAAGTCCCCGAATTCTGATCGGGTATTTCCCTGTCAGTTGTCCTGTCACTGAAAATCGCAGTTTCAGAGTCGGTTGCTAGCCTTGTTGGGGCTCAGCTGCCTGGGTCTTTGACAATGAATGGCACTGCCAGCCTCGGGCAGCCCTTTCATCCATCCCCGTTGCCATGGCTGGGCCTCTGCCCTGCTAGCCCAAGCCCGGTGCCATCTCTCCGCCACTGGCTCGTCTTTCCTGTGACCCACTGCAGGGACATCCCTGGACTGGGGATCAGAAGATGGGTTCAGGCGCCAGTGCCCACCCGGAACAGTGCTGGATCTCCGTGGGTGAGCCGCCAGCTCTCTGGGCTCCGTTGTGCCAGTGGTGGAGATTCCCCAAAAGCTGCTGCCTTGCCCTCTCAACTCATCCTCTGGCCACAGCCCCTCACCCTTTCTGCTGCCTTATCTCCACCCCTCAATGTCCGCCTCCCTTTGCACTCTCTTGCGCCCTATAACCTGCCACCTCTCTTAAGAGCTCTCCTTTTCATTTCCACTACTCTTCCCCTACTGTCGGCCTCCTCTGTCCTCCCTGTTGGTAATGAAGGCTTTGGGAATAGAGGGGTCTGAGTGGGCACATGCTTTCCACGGATTGCCTGTGAAACTCCTCCAGAGGCACTCCTCTTCCTGGACTGGGTCCCATCCATCTGTGGAATCCCACCCCTGCCCACTTCACAGAATCAGTGAAGTTAGACAGGACAGGAAATGCTGTGAAAGCTGAAATTTCTGTGAAGTGTACCTTAAGGGATAGAAGGACTTAAGTTTGGGCTACTTTTTTTTTTTTAAGATTTATTTATTTATGCATATAAGAACTGGGGTATAGGCCAGAGGTGTGGGGGGCGAGAGGATTCACCAGAGACAGAGCAGGAAACAGAACAGGCGGATTGACTGAAGTACACTGCTGAGGGGAGCCGGGGGCAAGTCAGGAGAGGTCAGCTGTGCCATGTGGGTTGCTCCCTGGCTTGGGATCAAACTCGTGCTGCAGTGGCTGCTGATAGCTTCATAGGTTGTGTCTTAACCCCTTGTGCCACCAGGGAGGCCCTTGGGCTACTTTTGATGGAAGCTTAGAGTTGAAATATTTAGAAGTTTTCACAAGGTCAAAAACGAGAGGTGGGGGTAGGTGTAGTGCCAAGAAGGCACAGAGCAGGTTTTCTATGATCCTGCCAGGCAGGTAAAGGAGGAGTCCTGGAGCCCTCAGTGGCTTTTTCGGGCCCTTAATGATATATCTATATCATTTGTAGTGAGGCAACTAGGTGCAGGGCAGGCAGAGGGGCCAGGGAACAGGAGGCTAACAGGCCTCCCAGCCCTGGGTGAATCTGTATTCTTTTTGGGGCCCCTGCATCCTCGCTTGTCTCTTCTCTGGTCTCTACTGCACTCTGCTGCACTGGCCTCTGCTGCTTCCCGTCCTCTGCTGCCGGACTCTGATCTCTGCCACTGTACCTCTGTGATGCTCCCCTTATATGCTAAGTCTCTAGCTTAGGGGCACCCACTCACACACGCCCACACCATGCTCCAGGGCCACATCAGGCACGCGTGTAAGACCACAGGTCATAGATGCTAATGGCGGGAGGGCAGGAAAAACCTGACAACCCAAGGGAGGGTGGAGCTGAGCAAGGAGGAGAAGAAACTGAAGAGGAGACTGGGAAAGGAGAAGACCAGAGAAGAGACCGCGAGATGATAGAGAGCCAGGAGGAGACCTGGAGGAGGCCCGTGGAGCAGAGAGACACATGAAGAAGCTGTACTTGCTTCTTGGTCCTGGACTGGGTGAAACAGATGTGGGTGAGAGACCCGTGGGGGAGGTTACAATGGCAGCTTTTGTCTTGATTTTGATTTAGTTCTTTTCCTTCCAGACGTGTCTGTTTTTGATCCTTTACTGTGGGTCCCCACCAGAAGGTGCCTTAGACATGTGGCAGGCTTTCAGGCATCAGTGGCCCTGCTTTGGGCCAATCCTGTTTGGCTGGACATTTACCCACAAGGGGGTGGGTGACTTTGGATGCTCGATTTGGAAATTTTATTCTTTGTCTTTTCTTTGTTGCACACTAATTGTATTAAAGTTCCTTTCCATTAGAAGTTTATATGTTTTGTCTTGATGTGATGGATGGGGGTGTCCCTCTCCCTGCCCTGTAACAATTCCACAAATAATGAATCCCACCCACCCACCCAAAAAATACTATTTTTTAAAAGATTTATTTATTTATACAAACACTGGGGTACAGGCCAGAGATATGGGAAGGTGAGAGAATTCACCAGAGACAGATTGTGGAGCAGAACAGGTAGACAGCCTGAAAGCACTGCCAAGAGGAGCAGTGGGCGAGACAGGAGAGGTCTGCTGCACCATGTGGGTTGCTCCTGGCTGGCCGGGAATCAAACCCAGGCTGCAGAGGCAGTGGACAGCTTCATAGCGCTGCGCTCAACCCGCTGAGCAACTGGGGAGGACCCCAAAGAACACTATTTAAGAACAGCCTTTGCTCTGGAAAAAGCAGATCTTGTCCCAGGTCTGCCCACCTGTGTCTATGCAGTTGCCTCTTTTTATTCCCTTTTTCTTTTTTCTAACAAACCTGCTCATTTAAAATCAGTCTGTGCCTGTGCAAAGGTCTTTCTCCTTAATAAACTCACTGTGTGCTGCTCATGGGAAAACTGATGAAATCTTTCTCAGAGGGACCAAAGAACCCCACTTACCAAACCCTAACACTTTCAGACCTATATCAGCTCTTACCAGGTCTGCACAAACTTGTTAACAATGTCCCTGAATTTTTCACAGACTCTTTTTCTTTCTTTCTTTCTTTCTTTTTTAATTAATTTATTTATTTATGCAAGCACTGGGTACAGTCAGAATCGCGGGAGGGTGAGAGAACCCACCAGAGCCAGAGCGGGAGCAGAGCAGGCAGAAGGACCGAAGTACACTGCTGAGGGGAGCAGCGGGCGGCAGGAGAGGTCTGCGCGCCATGTGGGACCCTCCTCCGGTGGCCGGGGAGCAGCCAGGGATGGAACCGGCGCTGCAGAGGCTGCGGGCAGCTTCGCAACCCAGCGCTCAACCGCTGTGCCACCAGGGGAGGCCCTGTGAATTTAGAGAGTTTATTACTTTAGCTCAAAGTTCAAAGGAGACATAGTATTATTCAAATTCTCTAATAATGTTTGCGCATGAACCAGATGAGGGATGGCAAAGTCAGATGCCTTCTGGAGCTGTTGCATAATTCTAATTTTAGATGATTCTTTCCACAGACACTCTTGTAGTTATATTACACCCTATTAAATGTTCTTCACTTCCTCAAAGAAACACCTTCTTGGTCTACAGTTCTGCTTTTTTCTTTTAAGATTTATTTATTTATACATACAAGAACTGGGGTACAGGCCAGAGGTGTGGGGGGTGAGAGGATTCACCAGAGACAGAGAGGGAAACAGAACAGACAGACTGACTGAAACACACTGCTGAGGGGAGCAGTGGGCAAGACAGGAGAGGTCTGCTGTGCTGCGTGGATCAGCTCCCTGGCCAGGGATGGAACTCGTGCTGCAGTAGCTGCAGATAGCTTCATAGTGCTGATGCTTAACATCTTGCACTACTTTTTTCTGCCTCCCCTTTTTTAAGCTGTGACTAGGATTGCCAGAACTTCCTTTGCTTAAGAGCACATAGGAGGGTCTCTCTGGTGACACAGGGGTTAAAGTCTCAGCCCTATCAAGCTATCGCCAGCCACTGCAACATGAGTTCGATCCCTGGCCAGGGAACTTACCGACATAGTGCAGCAGACCTCTCCTGTCTCGTCCTCTGCTCCCCTCAGCAGTGTATTTCAGTAGATACGACTGTTCTGCTCCCCACTCTGTCTCTGGTAAATCCTCTTACCACCCACACCTCTGGACTACACCCCATTTCTTGTATGAATGAATGAATGAATGAATGAATAAAATCTTCAAAGAGCACGTAGGATTTTTTTTTATGTTCTTTGAATCTTCCCATTTTAAAATAGTGATAGCTAATTCAACTTTTAAGGAAATCACTCTTTCAATCAATCATAATTAGAAGCCACATTTCAGTCCATAAAAGATAAAAGTAAAAACCAAAACACATTTCAGCCTATGAACTTCCAGTCTGCCCCTCTGATGTAGGTGGAATCCTCATGGCTTTTGTTGCCATGAAAGAAGTGCTTGGATGAATCCTAAGCTTTTTTGATAACTTCAGGATGAAGAATGGGGAGTATGTCGCCAATGATGACTTGCTCTCTCCTTTGAAA